CAAGTTGGGCTCTGTGCTCAGAGCCTGCTTGGGATCCTCTCTCTCTCTCCCTACCTCTCTCTCTATGCCCTGCTGGAGGCCAAGCCGGCTCCAGCAGGTCCAGGGGTCCCTGAAGGATGGACGGTGTCGGCGAGAGAGAGAGTGAGAGAGCCCCGTGATTCTTTCTGATCACCCAGCAGGCATCTCTGTCCTGTCGGTTTTGGTCTTTATTTATAGGTTAAATGATAACATGACATCAGAAAAAGGAATTTTTACAACGGATAACTCTTTGTGATAAGATGCTTTGGAAAGTGTACAGAAGCAGGTTTTACAGAAATATTCTTGCAGAACTATTCCAATTACAGTGAGGTTAAGTAAATCTTATAACTAGAGAATTAGGGTATTCTTAGTAAAAGACAGGATACATATTTGTTCTAAGTTAATAACGCTAAGGTTAGGTCATAGGTTAAGTGTAAAGATAATGCTTTAGCTACTCTTATCTATCCTCATCCCAGCCACCTGTAAGGGAGGGTATTTGCAGAAAGTAGGCCTTGGGGAAGGGACTGCCATACATCACCAATTAGGAGAAGGTGTAAGTATTAAGTTCTGTCCTTATCTGTACCTTAACTCTAAATTAGGCTCTTTGTCTCGGGGCCAGGCTCAGTTGTAATTCTTGTGTTCCTAACCCCCTAAGTCTTGGATCTGCAAGGCCCTTAGGAAGAGCCTTTTGACAATCATCCATAGAGCTTTCATCCCAAATCTCTCTTGCAAAGGCAGGAATATGCTTTTCCTTATGAGGTATCTGTGTTCAGAATATTGGTCTGATATGGAATATTGTGAGGCCTGGTCAATACCAGCACAACATGAGCCAGTAGTAGCAGGAGATATCAGTTTTCATTTCTCATGGCGGTAGCTGTGCAAACACTGCCATTTCCTTGCTGTGACTGCCATCCATAGAGGCCAGTGCGGCTCCCGGCAATGCTCCTTTCCCACTCAGGCTCTCCCTCTCCCTCTCCAAATAAACAAACATCAAAAAGTAAAAATAAATAAATCTGCTTCAGCAGTTAATTACTGGGCCACTGGGTTTCAATGTCACACATTTTTGGAACCTGCTCGCATTTATCACTGACAAGTCATCTCTGCCACGCTCGTTCCTTCCCTTCTCATCACTCCTCAGCCCAACTGCAATGTCTCTTCTGCTCCCGACACTGCTCAGGCCAAGTGGCCAATGACCTCCCGCTGCCAAGTATAAGAGACACCTGACATCTCAATGGCATCCGGCACAGGAGACCACCGTCCACTCTCTGTGAGCTTCCCCAACGCTCGCGCTCCCACGCTGGCTGCCGCTTCACCTTTGCCATCTCTTCTCTACCTGACACACGTCCACGTGCAGGCGCCCTAACCCCTGCCTAGGGGTCGTCTTTTCTATGTCACCGATCTGCTCAACGTTCACTTGCTCCAAAGGCTTCACGTGATAAGCCTGGACTCCCAATCTCCTCTGAGCTTCAGTCCCAAAGGCCCGCTGGTATCCTGCACCCACGGGAATGCAACGTAAGCAGAATAAAAACAACTTTCATTCTTCCAACCCCGAACTTTCCCCTTCCTGTGTTCGGCCGACGGAGCACTGGAGAAAGGTGCTTGTCCCTCATCCTCAGCCAGTCCTTCCTTCTGCTCAGTCTACCTCCTGCTGTTCTCTGGAACCACCCGCCTCTCCCTCTTCACTGCACCGCCTTCCACCTCTACGTCACCCTCCAGCTGTCTTCTCCCCTGGACTAGTCTCCTCATATCCACCCCTGCTCCCTTCCAATCCAGACTTATGTTTTTATTTTTTTAAGATAATTTATTTATCTTGAGAGAGAGAAAAAGAGAGAATGAGAACAGGGGAGGGGCAGAGAAGAGGGAGAGTGAGAATCCCAAGCAGGCTCCCAGCAGCCAGCACAGAGCCCGACGCCAGGCTCAATCTCAGGAACTAGAAAATCATGACGTGAGCCAAAATCAACTTAGATGCCCAACCAACTGAGCCACCCAGGCGGCCCCCAGACTTTTAAAAATGAAACACTTGGGCCACTTGGGTGGCTCAGTCGGTTAAGCGACCTGGCCAGGATATCAGTTTGGGAGACTGAGCCCCCGTAGGGCTCTGTACTCACAGTGTGGAGTCTGCTTAAGATTCATTTTCTCTCTCTGTCTCTGTCTCTCCACCCGCCCCTTTCCCACTAGTGCCTGATCTCTCTCTCCCTCTCTTTCAAAATAAAGTAAAAAAATAAATAAAATGAAAGCCCTTCACAACGTCCACAGAGCCCTGAATGACACGGTCTCCACCCCCCTCTTCAGATATTTCTTGTGCCGTTCCCATCACCACCATCATTCCATAGGTCTTTTAACAAAGTCAATAATTAACAATGACTCAGAAAGACCTTAAAATAAGCTATATTCTGAAAAGCCTCAAACACAAAACCCACAGAACATTCCAAATCAGTGATTTTTGTTTGTAACTTAAAGCCAGTCTTCATTGTTCACGTTTATCAAAAGTAGTTCTGAAATATCTTTTGTTACTAAGTTATTATGCACAGTTGATCATATGATTTCAAGTGAAAAAATGCTTATTCTTGTCTGGGAATGAATGAGGTCACTATACATCTATGAGGTCCCAAAGGTCCTTTCCAGCCAGAATTTTTCAGATCAATAAAATATTGCGAGGCCCCACACAAGGGAATGCAAATTTTTATTCTCCCGCATGGAGGTGTTAAAAACAAACAAAACCCCACACAGGTAAAAGAAAGAACGCTTTAACAACACAAACTGGAAAACCATAAAGTCAAAATAACAGCTAACATTCTAAATGAATAATTTGGGTATGATGCCCTCATTTTTCTCATTTCATTTAAGATTTGTGAAAACAGGTTTCCAAAATGACACCTGTTGCTAGACTCGATTCTGACAACTGCTCTTCTGGATACAACTACCGATGTTCTACAGATGGCATTGTAGGGGTGCCTGGCTGGCCCAGTCAGAATGCGACTCTGGATCTTGGGATCATGAGTTTGAGCCCCATGGTGCATGTGGAGATTACTAAAAAATAAATAAATAAACTTTAAGATAAAATAAAACCTCTCGCTTGAAAGTACTGAAAGGAGAAAAAAAAAAAAAAAAAACCCAGCCCCTAACATCTGAAACTGCTCAGAGGTTCACAATCGGACCCCAGTATTATTACAAACTGGTATGACACTCACAGGCCACCTCGGCTCTCCTGTTGGATATAACCAATGTCACAGAATACCCACCTCAGTTACAGTTACTCTGAGAAACCATAAAATGAAACAAGGCGAGGCTACTTCATGATTCTTAAGGACAGACAAAACAAGGGTATGTGCAACCTACAAAATACCAAACACCCCCTTTTCTTCCTAAATTAATGTTTCCTCTTTACCCAATCACAGAATTTCCCCACCTTTTAAAAGTATCCTATCTTGGGGAGCCTGGATGGCTCAGTCCTTTAACCATCCGACTTGGCTCAGGTCATGATCTCATGGGTTTGTGGGTTTGAGCGTTGTGATGACAGCTCAGAGCCTGGAGCTGTTTCGGATTCTGTGCCTTCCTTCCTCTCTCTCAGCCCCTTCCCCTCTCGTGCCTTGGTCTCTCTCAAAAATGAATAAACAGTAAAAAAAAAAATTTTTTTTAAGTCTCCAATCTAGATCAAACTCCCTATTCCTTGGACCTACTCCAATTTACTCAACCCAAGTCCAAGTTATGAAATAGGTTTTGCCAATTGCCCTTTTACTGAGAGGCCAACGGTCTGCGTTCCTTCTCACTGTAAAGAGCAATAAATTCAATCTGTTCAACTACAGTTGGGTTTACTTTTGGCCTTTGGCTGAAGGGCACTTAAGAGTATCAAAGTATTAAACTATTTTAAAATATTCATGATCCCAACCACTTTAAAGCAAATGAATTCCCTACACACACTAAAAACACCCAAATTGTATCTCTTCTTATGCCCTTCCAATCCTTATCCACGTGTATATACTGTGTATTTTTCTGTTACTGAAATCACAGTACATACTATTTTATTTTTATTTGCTGAATATTCTATCAATTTCAATGAATGAATAGTATCCCACCGTGATTTTATTCTTAAATCATTTCTCCTTAGAAAAATAAAATAGTAAAAGGAGAAAATGCATACATTGTTCCCACTGTTGACATCTTAACTAAGCTATTCAAGATCACCCTCATCCAACCTCAGGTCAGATGCACCCAAGTTCCTATATATCTGATCTGCTAGCCTGTCCACCTACTCTATAAATGAAGTCTTAATGCTTTTAAAGAAGAGAAGGAACACCAGATGGGTGTCAAGAGGCCTGAGTTTTTAGGCATAATTGAGTACACGATAGCGTAACCTCTGGCTAGACATTTTCCCACTGAGTTTACTTCCTCCTCTGTAAAATAAGGCTGGTCCTTCACTGTCTCTTGCAGTTGGCAAATCTGGGTTCCCCCGACTTCCTTCTGGGGAAAGAGCCACGGGACAGGCGTTCCCATGACTCGGGGATCAAGGCCACAGCAGCCACATCGGGGCCAGCCTGGGCCGCTCCACAGCCCTGATTGGGGACGCCTCGGCCTTTCCCAAGGATCTCAGAAGCCTCGGGGTGGCAATTTATCCTTCAGCACCTCTTCACCTGGCAGAGAATGCCCAAGTCATCACAATTATGTACACATGTCGACTGAACTTTTCGCAGTACAGGAGGCGCAAGCCTGGAACTGGTATAACGAGCGTAATCGCTCAAATTTGGGGGCGTGCAAATCACACCCAGCATTCCGCAGAGGTCACAATTTCCCTCAAGGGTTTCTTTCCAAGCACGTATGGAATCAAAGCGGGGTAGGGGTGGCGAGCCCGCTCCGCACGCACACCGCCAGGGGGGATCCCGCAGGCCCCCGGGCAGACGCCGCCCCGCACCCGGCCACACTCGCACCTGCGCCCCCCCGACGGGGCACGCCCCTCTGCGCGCCGCCCCCTGGAGCGCACTCACCGGCGGCGCGTGCTGAGCCACGGCGCGGGCGGCCGCCACGGTCAGCAGTACGAAGGCCGGGCGAGCCCAGCCCGACATGGTCCCGGGGGCTCCTGGAGGCGCCTGCCCAGGCGTGAAGAGGCACCACCTGGGCTCCAAGCAGGCCTCGCCCCGCCGCCGCGTGACCTGGGCCACCGGACCGCACCAAGCGGGACGGGGGGAGCGCGGACGAGACGGGGCGGGAAGGAGAGGCCGGGGCTTTTCGGTGTGGCAGGAAGGGGCGGCCTTCGGGAGAGCGTGCGCGGTCCTCGGGACGGGAGTCAGCTCTCACGAGGACCCGCGATATCGGTCGGGCATCCCCCCAGGCCCCTGGGCAGTGGTTGGGCCCAGCCGGAGCCCCGCCCCCCGGCGGGTGGGGCTCAGCAACTTTTCTCCGGGTCTTGGCCGGGGAGGTCCGCGCCCACCTCGGAACCTCCTCGGGTGCGGGCCGCGGGCGACGCTCGGCCGGAGCGTCCGCTCCACTCCGGGCCTGGTGCCGCCTGTACGATGCCCCCAAACGGCCCAGGACGAGCTGTTCATTCAGGCCAACAGGTACCAAATGCTCACGAAACGGACCCAAGTCAGAAGCGTCTCCAGAGGCGGAGGTGTGACCTGCTACCCGACCCATCCCTGCAGATGAGCACAGCCGGAGCTTGCTCGTCCCGACCGCGGGGTCCCTGGGCGGCCGCAGTGGTTAGGGGCGGGGAGGGCGGTGGCGGGAGTCTCATCCCCACCGACACTCTGGACGAAGAAGTACCCACTTAGGCTCTCGCCGCAGGGCTGACCAGTCACGGAATTTAGGTTTCAGTTATTGGAACTTAGACACAGGTGGAATGATCAGGGAGCATTGCAAACCTTCCGTCACTCATGTCTTCAGCCCCAGAGCAGCTGTGTGTTTTCATCTCGCTCAGGGAAGCCTTTGCGTTGGCAGAACTACGCTAAACCCAGGAGGGGGGATGTAGTCAGTGCTGGATAGCCTGCACCTGAAAAAGAGTTAGTTGCTTGTCATTCATGGCTTCCATGGACATGGTCGTCCTGTTGGATGTCACTTAAAAGTTCAACAGGAACCCCTACCACCGGGATTGCACTTTCCGGGTGTCTCTAGGATATCCCAACTAGCAATGTTTTAATGGCTAATGAAACTTAGAATACTTCCACAAAAATATTCATTTATTTCTCATTTCTTGTGTGTGTGAAATTACAATTTTGCTCATTTATGATTCTTCCTTAGAAAAATCAGTCTTTTTAGTTGGAGATTGGGAAATGCGAATTCGATGTTGGGGGGGTAGATAATCTTCTTGTCAACCTTAAAATAGCCAGTTATTTTATCAGCAGAGTAAGTTTGTTGGGAGTAATTGCAGTTTGGAACATTCAAACTATGGCAAACGATAGGCAAGTTGGGTGAACAAAGAAGAGGGGACTGCTTTTACAGAGGAAAGGAGGAAATTGGAATCTATTTGAATCGGAAGTCCACTGAAGGAGAGCAAGAGTTCGGTTGTGGCCACCACTCATTGTTTGAGTTGTTGTGTAAGAAACTTTCCTATTACTGGGGTAGTAAAGTAAGCTTCTTCCTATTGTGGAAGGTACAGGTAAACTTTCTCCTATTGGGGTCTATAAAAGGTGGGAAGTGGTAGTGTGTGAGAAGCCTCCCTTCAGGGCTTCCCAACTCCATTTTGAATGAGATTTCCTTTGTTCATTTTCACACTCCCTTTGAGGAAGTTTTACTCGTGAAACATATCACATGATTAAAGTGGTTCCTTTCTAGACAGTGAGCAAGCAGATCATAGATATGTTAATTCAAGAAACATTTGCTGTCGGCCTACAATGTTCCAAGGTTTCCTCCAGACACAGACTGGGGTTAAGCAGATAACAAAAACGTTCTTCTCTTATGAGGCTTACATTCTAGATGAGAAATGGATAAACACAATACATAAGAAAATTCATATAGAATGTTAGAAGGTAATAAATGTTGTACAGAAAAGGCAGAGTAAGGGGATCAAGAGTGAAGAGAATCAGGGGTGCCCAGGTGGCTCAGTCTGTTAAGCATCTGACTTGGTTTTGGTTCCGGTCTTGATCTCATGGTCTGTGAGATCGAGCCCCACATCAGACTAGGTGCTGGCAGCACAGAGCCTTGCTTGCGATTCTCTCTCCCTCCTCTATACCCCTCCCCACAAATAATTAAACATTAAAGAAAAAAAAGAGTGGGGAGAATCACAGTGTTAAATTACTGAGAAGGTGAAGTCTACAGAGACTTGGAGGTGAGGGAGTTATCCTGGTGGAGGTCTAGGGAAGAGTGTTCCAGACAGTGGGAGCAACTGGGAGAAAGGTTTGAGAATGCCTGGCATGTGTGGCTAACCAGGGAAGGCGGTGTAGGTAGAGCAAACAGAAGAGAGGGGAAAGAGTAGATGAAGTCTCAGTGAAAAGAGTAAGGCAGATTACGCTTGCCATTACCAGCCGTTGTAAAGAACTTCAAATATATTGAATTATCTTGGACCTTAAAATCAGTCTGTAGAAGGAGAGGATTCCCATCTTCTGGTATATAGTTATTTGGTTTGAAGATCATTCACGTTAAATGCTACTGAGGGCGCTTTAAACATGTCATCAAATATATATATTTTTCCCTATGAGAGGATATTCATTGGTGGGTAAGTGGTCTAGCAAAATCAAATCCCTTATGCAAAAAAAATTTTTATATTTTTTATTATATTGTATAATCTTATATTTTTATATTTTATTATATTGTATAATATTTTTATAATATATATTTTTCCCTGTGAGAGGATATTCATTGGTGGGTAAGTGGTCTAGCAAAATCAAATTCTTTATGCAAAAAAATATTTTTATATTTTTTATTATATTTTATAATATTCTTAGGCACAATTTTCATAGAATTTTGCATCTAACTTTCAAAGGCCTTTTATATACTATTGATTCTGTTTTCAAATTTAAAAATTTTAGTCTACTTTTCCAAAATATACCATTTTATGCATTTATTTTTTATTTTGAGAGAGAGTGCATACATACATGCAAGTGGGGAAAGTGCAGAGAGAGGGAGAGAGAGAATCCCAAGCAGGCTCTGCTCTGTGAGCACAAGGCGTGACATGGGGCTTGATCTCATGAACTGTGAGGTCATGACTTGAGCCAAAATCAAGAGTCAGTTGCTTAACTGACTGAGCCACCCAGGTGCCTCCATTTTTTAAAAAAAAAAAATGTTTAATGTTTACTTATTTTTGAGAGAGAGAGAGAGACAGAGTGTGAGCAGGAGATGGGAAGAGAGAGATAAAGACACAGAATCCAAAGCAGGCTTTCAGCTCTGAGCTGTCAGCACAATATATATGTCAGCATATGTATTTTCCTACTTCATTCTTAAGGATTAGAAATATACAGAAAGCCAAGGTGAGGCGTGTAGTCCCAGGAAAAACTTTTCCTTGGTTTGAGGCATACTGATGTATTCACAGAAAATGACATTTAAATGTACAAATAAGTGACTGTCGGTGGGAAGGGTGAGTCAAATACTGCCTTCACAACAAGCATCACGTTTAAGACTTGGATAACCTGTTTAGTATGCCAGAGTCAGTATCAGGAATCAAACTGTGTATCAGAATGGGGAAGTACTACTTGGCAAGCTGTGGACCTTTCCAAGTCTCCTGCTAACATTCCTAGGTTTCTGAGGCGGAGTCTTGATTTAAAATTCTTAATTCTCGCCACCCCACCCTAAATGAACTCTACTGCACATAACACTACATTACTTACCCAAAACAGGTCTGGCTTGATTTAAAAAGACTGAATATTCAAAAACTCAAGAAGTAGAGTGTTTCAGTTTGAAAAATAAACCTCTTGCCAGAAGTATTTACCAGTGAGTTGTTTAATTAAAAAAAAAAAAAAAGGCTTACTGTATTTAAAAGGTAATCTGAGTTTCCAAACTTAAGACTACTGTCCACTTTTCAGAAAGGGCTCTAGAGAATAAAAGATGTAAAAAATGGAAAGCCAGAAGTCATACAAAATTGTGACCTGACTTCTCCTCTGGTAGGTGTGTCACACTAAGAAAAGATTACTTGCTTTGTTTTACTTATATATAGAAAAAGATATGCAGTCACCACATTCAGCTCAAGGCACTGTGTTACACCACCACGAATTCAGTGCTCACATTGTACCTAATTGTTCTTTCTTACATAGTGTCAAAATAAAATAATTATCTTAATTATCCTTCACTTTGCACTTCTCTGTGAAATATTTGTGATCTCTTATTGAATCTCTGACAACATCAAGCATGTTAGAGTTTGAAGACACTTTAAAAAAAATCCTTTTGTCCTATTTGTACTTTTTTTTTTTTTTTTGATGATTCTGGCCTGAAAAGTATTTAATTTGGCTCAAATCCAATAATCTCTCATTTATTTTTTGTTGCTGTTGTTCTGATTTCATATTCTTCTGTAGTTCCATTTTGCATACACCCTTAGGGATACCTAGTAACGTTCCAGCCAGTTGTTTCTCCTTGGTTTGCAGTAGATTCATGTATTCTCTCAATATATTTTGAGCACTAGGTGCTGAATAACTAATGAACCAATGGCGCTGCCTTCCTGGGGCTTTCAGTCTCATGGCGGAGAAAATGATGATGGAGGGGAAAATGTAAATCAAATGAGTATCCTGAAAACTTCCAGTACATTTAGGTCATTTTCCCATACTCTCATCTCTGGCTTAATACTGTAGATGTTACACTAACCTCAGTTCCCACTCCTCCCTGATGCACCAGCCACATGTCGGGATGAGTCTTCTCCTCCTCCTTCTCCCTGGAGGTGGCCCCTGGATGGCCTGACCCTGAGGCTGCTGACCTATCCCTCTTGCTGCAGTGCGTGGCTTTGGTCTTAACCATTCAGACTCTTGAATCCAACAGCTCATGTTTTGAAGTTCAAGGTTTTGCTCTATGATTGAGGCAACTGTCCTTTACCTTCTAACAGGAAAAAGGAAGCTAGGAGCCCTCACTGCGACTGGCATTCATGCTATTCATGCTATGCCTTAGGAGCTGCCTAAGGAGGAATACATACTGTGGACAGCAGAGAAGAGAAATGGAAAGAAACCGGGTCATTACGACATTGTTAAGCTGCTAGATCAACGAACCCTGGAGCCTGTCCAACAGCTGGACTCTTCATTAATATGAGCTGCTACTCTTCTTTATTATTTAAGCTAGTTCAAGTTGATTTGCTTGCAATTTTGTATCTGTAGCAGATGCGCATATTAAAATAGGTATTGCTACCTTCTGAAGAGCAGAGGAAAGA